AGGAAACTAGAAATACTTTAAAGGGACACTATAGTCACCAGAACAACTACAGCTTAGTGAATTTGTTCTGGTGAGTAGAACCATTACCTTCAGGCCTTTTGCTGTAAACACTGTCTTTTCAGAGAAAACGCAGTGTTTACATTACAGCCTAGTGATAACTTCAATGGACACTCCTCAGATGGCTGTTAGAGATCCTTCCTGGGTCATGGCTGCCTAAAATGCATCCAAACATTCAGTGTCTCCACCCTCTGCATGCAGACACTGAACTTTCCTCAAAGAGATTGATTGATTCAATTAATCTCTATGAGGAGATGTTGATTGGCCAGGGCTGTATATAAATTGTGCTGGCTCTGCCCCTGATCTGCCTCTTTGTCAGTCTCAGCCAATCCTATGGGGAAGCATTGTGATTGGATCAGGCTACCACGTCCGATGATGTCAGCAGACTGCTTGTTTTTCTGAGTCTAACAGCATGCAGAGTTACAGCTTCAGGATTGAATACAGTAAGATTTTGCAATATTTAGGGAGGCATGAGGGTCCCAGGGGGGCTAGATGGTGGTGTTAACACTATAGGGTCAGGAATACATGTTTGTGTTCCTGACCCTATAGTGATCCTTTAATTAATAGACTGTCTTTTTATTAACCTCTTAAGACAGGAGGGCGTACTATTACGCCCTATTTTAGGCGGCTCTAAACGCCGCCGGGCATAATAGTACGCCCTCCGGTCTTTCTTTACTTACCCAGTTGCCGGCGATCGCGGCTGGGGGGACTCCCAGGGAGCACCCCGCAGCACGTCCGACCCCCTGGAAGCCCCCCCGGCCATGTGAGAGTGAGGTCCTTGCGAGGACCTCACAATCCCATGGCCGGGATAGCTGGCTGCAGCATTCCTAGCAGGGGGGCTGCCTGTAATGACAGGTGGTCCCCCTGCTGGCTGGAAATAAAATAAATTAAATTAATAAAAGTTTAAAAAGTGTAAAAAAATAATAATATATACTTAGATCATATATATATATATATATATATTATATATATATATGATCTAAGCATATATATACACATATACATACAAACACACACTGTCTAGGTGTATTTTAGTATTAATATATATATATTTATATATATATTAATATCAAATTACACGTAGACTGATACTGATTAAATATATATATATATATAATTATTGTTATATATATTTATATATAATATAAAAAAAATGAATATGTAAATACGTTAAAAAATAAAATTAAAAAAATAATTACAAAATATATAGATGTGTGTTATTTCGTTCTAACTGTATTGTGATATTAATATATATATATTTATATCAAAATACACGTAGAACGAAATAATATGTATATCTATATATATAAATATATACGTATATATCACTATATATATATATACACCTATATATAAATAAAAATATTTAAAAAAAATTATATATATATATATATATACACACACACACACACACACACACACATATATATTCATATATATATATATATATATATATATATATGAATATATATGTGTGTGTGTGTATATATATATACATATATTAATTCTACATATATATTTATGTAATATTTTTACATAATTAGGTATCTGAATTAATTACAATTAGCGGGACCTGCCTGACAACCCATGCCGAAAGTAGAAACATAGAAACATAGAATGTGACGGCAGATAAGAACCATTCGGCCCATCTAGTCTGCCCAATTTTCTAAATACTTTCATTAGTCCCTAGTCTTATCTTATAGTTAGGATAGCCTTGTGCCTATCCCACGCATGCTTAAACTCCTTTACTGTGTTAACCTCTACCACTTCAGCTGGAAGGCTATTCCATGCATCCACTACCCTCTCAGTAAAGTAATACTTCCTGATATTATTTTTAAACCTATGTCCCTCTAATTTAAGACTATGTCCTCTTGTTGTGGTAGTTTTTCTTCTTTTAAATATAGTCTCCTCCTTTACTGTGTTGATTCCCTTTATATATTTAAATGTTTCTATCATATCCCCCCTGTCTCGTCTTTCCTCCAAGCTATACATGTTAAGATCCTTTAACCTTTCCTGGTAAGTTTTATCCCGCAATCCATGAACCAGTTTAGTAGCCCTTCTCTGAACCCTCTCTAAGGTATCAATATCCTTCTGAAGATACGGTCTCCAGTACTGTGTACAATACTCCAAGTGAGGTCTCACCAGTGTTCTGTACAATGGCATGAGCACTTCCCTCTTTATACTGCTAATACCTCTCCCTATACAACCAAGCATTCTGCTAGCATTTCCTGCTGCTCTATTACATTGTCTGCCTACCTTTAAGTCATCAGAAATAACTTAAATAAAGGGAATTTAATTTGCTAGCACTATATTTAACCCTAAAACTTTCCAAGACACCATAAAACCTGTACATGGGGGGTACTGTTCTACTCGGGAGACTTCGCTGAACACAAATATTAAGTGTTTCAAAACAGTAAGATGTATTACAACGATGATATCGCCAGCAAAAGTGAAGTTTTTTGCATTTTTCACGCACAAACAGCACTTACACGGACGATATTATTGCTGCGATACTTTTTACTGTTTTGAAACACAATTATTTGTGTTCAGCAAAGTCTCCCGAGTGCAACAGTACCCCTCATGTGCAGGTTTTATGGTGTTTTCAAAAGTTACTGCGTCAATTATAAGGCTTGTGTTTCATTTTTCTCACATTAAAATTCGCCAGATTGGTTACGTTGCCTTTGAGACCCTATGGTAGCCCAAGAATGAAAATTACCCCTATGTTGGCATACCATTTGCAATAGTAGACAACCCAAGGTATTGCAAACGGGGTATGTCCAGTCTTTTTTAGTAGCCACTTAGTCACAAACACTGGCCAAAATTGGCGTTTTTTGCATTTTTCACACACAAACAAATACTAACGCTAACTTTGGCCAGTGTTTGTGACCAAATGGCTACTAAAAAAGACTGGACATACCCCATTTGCAATACCTTGGGTTGTCTACTATTGCAAATGGTATGCCATTATGGGTGTAAATTTCATTCCTGGCTACTATAAAGTCCCAAAGGCAACGTAACCAATCTGGCGAATTTCAATTTCAAATGTAACGTGCTATATTTGACCCTGTAACTTCCCAAAACGCCATAAAACCTGTACATAGGGGGTACTGTTTTACACGTGAGACTTTTCTGAATACAAATATGTGTATTTTATTGCAGTAAAAGCAAACAGTATTATGACATTGACCGTTAAAATGTCATGTAGAACTAAAAATCTTTTCTCCCATTTTTTTCATATTAAATTATGTTTCATAGCTAAATATTTGATATTAAATGAAAGCCCTGTTTCCCCTGAATACAATGATATATAATAAGGGTGGACAGACATGTAGCGCAAATGCCAGGTTTTGTTTACATTTTGTTTTGTTCACAACGTGTACATTTGGCTCCGTCCTTAAGGGGGTCCTTAAGGGGTTAACATGTACAGGACAATCAACAGAGCAGTTTCTGGAGAGCGATATGCAAAGCTAGAAATTAGTACTGTCCAGCTTACACAAGCTTTAAACAAAGAAATAACAATTGCAACCTTTCTTGTCCAATGCTGTGAAAGCATACAGTTTTTAAAAATATAGACTGGGGCACATATAGATTGGCTTGAGTAGAGACTATCAGTTGCAGAAAAAAAGCCTTATAAATTCTATGTTTTAGTTGTCCTTGCATGTGGTGGCTAAAACACTGTCAGTTATGATTTATACTTATTGTATTATAAAAGTATGACATACAATAGAATAAAATATTGAATGGCCTCACGCATACTCTGCACATGGTTCTTAGTTTTCTCAGTGTGACCCAAAAACTGTGTTGGTGGGTGCAAGTGGCTCCTATTTTCGATCCAAACACAGATTTGAATAGACTATATATTTATATTTTTTACAGCACCACATGTTAAATTGTAGACTGCTTAGCCAGCCAACATGATCAAGATATGACGGACCAATAATAGAAGCTCAGAATATGGGGAAAGGAGCTGAACTAGTAGTCTGCAGAAGTCAGCAGCCCTTGGAAGTCCAGCTGTTGTCTTTGCTTCTCATGATGCTCAGACAGTCGAGCTGGAATAAGCATTATGTGAAGGGTAGCATGGATCAACCACAACAGCTGAGATACAAACACTATTTTAGATATTAGAGTTTAGTTATTAGAGTTAACTATTCAAGTACATTTATAAGTGATCTATTTCTTAGACACAAAGAAACAGGAAAACGTTGTACGGAAAACCACACAGTTACTGTGAGATTCTGATAACAGGCTTGGTAAATTAACCAATTTTGTAGTTTTGTTTGGACTTTGGAAATCTTTACTTTATACTATGCATATCAAAATAAGAAATTGTTAATTTCTATTATTAAACTCCTTTATGGCACATGCAAGTCTACCCCAGGGGTCCCTAAAAGGTCAATTCCCAGATGTTTTAAAACTACAGCTTCCATGATGCTTTGTCATTTTAAACGCTTTCCAAAGTCATGCACTGCATCGTGGGAGGTGTAGTTCTACAACATCTGGGGATTTTACCTTTTAGGTACCCCTGGTCTTCACAGACTTTGTATCATACATGTGTGTTCCAACAATGGATGTTGTTCACTTGTAAGGCTGTTTTTCTGGCGCATTTCCTATTTGCTCCTATTCCCTTATTTGTGCCATATATTCCTTTATTTTCCTGTTCCATATTGTTTGTTTTGTTGAGTTCACACATGCCCCCCTGGCCCCCTACCCCAAGTAGTATATCTTATTTGTCTTATATTGAGATGGATAATTTATAATACCATAAGGGGGGGGGGAAAAAAGCAAAAAAAACAACAAAATAATAAAATGTCAGAAGGCAGATTATTTAGGAGCATTACAAAAATAATAATCAATGTTGTATAAAGCTGGAGTAACAGTTTTATACAGATAAAAAAAATGGGGTAAACAGCACACATAATATGCGCAAACGTGAAAGTGAACATGACAACTTTTATACTTGTGTGTGTGTGTGTGTGTGTGTGTGTGTATGTATATATATATATATATATATAGAGAGAGAGAGAAACACACACACACACACACACACACACACACTATATATATATTTTGTGATGGAGCTCCCTGTACCCCTGGCTGGATACCTCCGCCAAGGACCGCTTCCACCTGGAACAGTGGGGACAAACTGCATTACTTCTGCCCACAGTTGCTGTGGCTTGACTGGGGCCCTGGAACCGAATGGGGAATTAGCTCTAGTCCTTACAAGGACTTTCCAGCTGAATCTCCTGCAAGCTGACACAGGAGTAAATCTTATTTTCCTCCAAAAACAGGACGATACACAGTTTTGGAGTGTAAGCTGGAATAAGTTTTAATGGTGCCACACTTGGCCTTTTATGCAAGTCCCCAAGCAAGGGGTACGCCAACATGGACCTTGTTGGGGACAGGGACAAAAGCTTCCAAACCAATAACAACACATTTACAATGTGGCACTCCCACACAAGGCAAACAATCCTTCCCCTCTGCATGGGAGATAAATGGATCAGATACTGCATTAACCCAATTATCACCAGGCAGAAAAAAACACACATTTCTAAAAAGTCCCAAAAGTACCCCAAAACACGATATCCACACATCCTCTGATAGCCTTGATCTGGGTGACCAACATATCCAAAAATCACCCAGATCAGTTCGTGTTCAGAAATTCTATGGAAGTAATTTATCTGACCGACCGCAAGCATGGCCCCATGCCCAAAACAGTTCCAGAGAATCAGGGCTTGCGGTCAGTCTAGTTCGGTAGTTTGAAAATGAACAACTACCAAACAGAGTCATTAATCTTACCCTGGAGCTTGTTCCCTTCATCCAGACTAATGATCCCACCAAACAGTGCTCTTTTAACTTGTATAGAACCGAACGCAGGCGATGATGGAAGTCCAGCGGTGTTTGGGAGTTTCTGTATCCGATTTCAGTTCCACGAGATTCATGCCCAAACACCGCTGCCTGCGTTCATGCGAACAAGATGGCCGCAACCTCGTGGTTGTCCATAGGAGTTGCGGCCATCCAGACGGACAATTAGAACACTGCGGTGAAAAATGTTCCAAGTTGTTAATAGGTGTTAACAAGCTCCAGGGTGGTCTCTGGTTCGTGCGGTTGTTCGGTAAACGAACCATATAATCCTAATTGCACGAACAGAGACTTTTACATTATTTCCCACAGGGTCCATAGTCTGTGGGCAGGAGGCTGGCAAGCAGGCTTCTCCAGGAGCTCGTGGCAAACACGGGTAAAAAGGGGAGTTTGTCACACACACACACATATATATATAAATATATATATATATATATTAGCATTCAGTGACTATAACATCAGGAAGAAGGAACACGAGAAGGTGGACAAATACCAAGGACTGAAAGAAGAAATAGAAAGGATGTGGAAAATGAAGACAGTAGTAGTCCCAGCTGTGAAAGGAGCACTCGGGGCTGTGACACCCAAGTTGGGGGAGTGGCTTCAACAGATTCCAGGTGGGACATCTGAGATCGCTGTCCAGAAGATTGCAGTTCTAGGAACAGCTAAGATACTGTGTAGAACCCTCAAACTCTCAGGCATCTGGTAGAGGACCCGAGAATGAGGAATAACCATACCACCCAGGAGGGGTGAAAAAAATCAAATTAAAAATAAATTACATATATATATATATATATATATGTGTGTGTGTGTGTGTGTGCGCTTATATACATATGTCTTTGTAGTGGGCTGCAGGGAAAGGATTATACTTGAGTTGATTATACCCCCTCCCCACCCCCCTTTAATTTAGAATGCTTACCTACAAACAGAATTATAAACACAAATAATCTATTCACATGATGCATTTTTTTCTTCTTGAATCTCTACTCTAATACATCCTCACGCCCCCACACTCTTCTGTGGGAAAAAGCTTTTCTGAGATGGAAAAAGACTGGTGACAGGATGAATCAGGATGAGGCAGAACCACAGAAATCGTGGATGGGAATACTAAGGAGCACCGTGGAAATATATTTAGATTTAAGAATCCTAACATGATGCATCACAAAATTCTATACACACCACATTTTATCACCATGCATAATTTTTACTGTTTTAACTTTGGGACACTGTGTTCTATGTGAAACTCAAATCTCAGCAAATTACCATAGGTTATATATTATTTTAAAAGGACACTATAGGCAACCAGACCACTTCATCTAATTTCCGCAGAGACTGAGGAACATCTTTGTATTACTAACACTGAAGTGTTCCTTTAATGGGACACATTGATTTCAATATTGAATTTTAACAGTGACTTGAAAAATCAACTTGCAAGATTAAGGGTTGGAATGCATACACACATAATTACAACCCACTTTAAACGGCAAACCTATGCCTCAGGTGTTAAGAAAAATGCACTATTTTCAGATAGGGTGGAACACTTGATTAGCAAACCATGGCTAAATAAAATATCCTAAGGCAAAGTCATTTCGTCTTTTGACTGTGACAATAATTCCTACAACCATTTAGAGTTAGTTAGTTAGGACACAATGAACTGGCCAAGTAGCAAAATCCACTTAAATATCCACATTACACAATAAATGCTTTTA